CTGTATTGGACAGCATAGGTTATAAAATATTTCCATCATCTCAGAAAGTTCTATTAGACAGCACTGCTCTGGAGTAAAGAATCTCTTTTAGAATGTTTTTTTCTATTACCCCAAGGTTATAAACAGTTGCTGAGAGTCCCAAGAGTGCAACTTATCACATGTAGGCTTGGCTCCATCCAATCAGATTGAAGCCAAAGGAAGAAGAAAACTACATGATATCGAGTGCCCCTGCAGGATCTTTAGTGAAGACTCAAGCTAAATATTATGCAAGAAAACCCTACAGAACTTGGGGGCCTATAAAAGAAAGACGAGTCATCTCCTAAGACTCATGTTAAGGATGAAGAGAAAGTTCAAAACAACAGATTTGAGAATGAAAGAGAAAAGTGGAAGTCCACTTATTTTTAAAATAGTGCTTGAAACATAAGAATTTATAACTTATTTAAATAGATGATACTAACGATGTCCTTGCAAGTTGCTCAAATCTATATTTCTACCAGTCCCGGTAGGAAACCAAGCATTTAATTCCTAAATTGGTATATAAGGATCTTGCTATAATCTAATACCTAAGTTTTAATTCCGCAAGAGAGAGAACATTCTCATGTAAGAATAGGAACTAGATACACCATTACAATGGAATATGATTATGTATTAGGGACACATAAAAAAAAGAATGTAAAAAAAAAAAAAAAAGAATGTAAAGGTAAAGACCAAGATTGTTTTGGAATTTGGTGCCAAGGTTCACATATACTGCCTTTAGTAAAATGGTAACAGAGACATTCCAGAGGATCAGGAAAGAGATATAATGAATGCTACCACCCTTAGAATTTTCATGGCGCTCACATAACAAGAACTGAAATCTGCACACTATCATTTCAACTGTGAGAAAACAGGTGGGGAGACCTACTCAGCAGATTGAAAAACAGACTCAGTCTGCTGTTTGTGGCATAGAGATGTTATTCTAACGGTGTGTATCTGGAGCCCATGTTTCTTAAACCACTGGACTGCAAAAATCTTAGTAACTCAGAAGGCAAACTATGCCCATGAAAATGGAGAAAAGCACAAGAATTTGAAAGTTCACTCCCCAAGGCATTCAGCTAACAATCTTGCCTTTCTGTTCAGACAACAGGATTACTGAGAAAGAGAGGAAGTGAATGAAGAATAATTAATTGGAATAGCTCGTTTTCTTAAATAACAAAAACTAATTATGTTGTGTTAAGAAAAATAGAATGTTGGGGGTTTTTTTTCACCAGGGAAGAATGACAAATTAAAATCCTTAAGTCATGAGGAAAGTTGACATTTCCTTCTGAAATACTAAACTTTTAGGTTCAGAAACTCTATTACAATTGAAAAATCAAGCCTTCAGAAATTAAATTCCAAAGCAAGTCTACAGCAGCGCTTACTTGGACACATTACACATGGTACGTATTTTACGGTCCATGTTTAACAAATAACTGGAAGATGAAAAAAAAAATTTCACATATTCAACATGGCAGAATAAATTCTATAGCAAAAAGAAGAATTTTGAGTTGTTCTGAACACTACTCTGAGACATCACTTTCCATTAATCTAATTTTAGCAATTTGTATTCCTTTCTTTTTGGTAATTTTTAGAACAAAAAGTCATCCCAGTTGAAAAACAAACTACATGTGTAAAATACTCTATACATCACCATCCTATAAATCTGAGGGGTGGTCCTCCTCTTTCGGTAAATCTCTAAAAATCTCATGAAACTAATGCTTATTTTCCTCAACTCTAGACTTTAATTTTCTATCTTCAGAACTTAAAAATACTTACATAATTGTCTTCAAATATGGCTTGACTTTTCTTCCTTGATGGAAACAGCATTC